CAGATTGAATTCAATAAAAGAAATGATGAACGCTCCTTTCTAATCCAATCTTGTATTTATATTGAACTCCACAAAACCAGTACTCATGATTTACGATATTGCGCATGACCACAACACGATATTTACTTCATAAGCCCCGCCTATATGGTCACAAGACAGATTGTTTGACATTGACGAGTTGGCCACTGGCCACGCTCGTAAAAACCCCCCTATCCTAACCCTAACCCTAACCACGCTCGTAAAAACCCCTCTACCCTAGCCCTAAACCCTAACCCTAACCCGGTTAGTGTGTAATACCTAGTTACTGGGTAACTAAAGTGGGTGACACTTGGTAACGAGTAAAACTTTTTTTACTGGGTTACGAAAGTGGGTGACACCTGGTTAGTGTGTAATACCTAGCTTCTGGGTAACTAAAGTGGGTGACACCTGGGTAACGAGTAATACATATTTACTTGGTTACGAAAGTGGGTGATACCTGGTTAATGAGTTATACCTAGTTACTCGGTAACAAAAGTGGGTGATACCTGGTTAATGAGTTATACCTAATTACTCGGTAATAAAAGTGGGTGACACCTGGTTAGTGTGTAATACCTAGTTACTTGGTAACTAAAGTGGGTGACACCTGGGTAACGAGTAAAACTTTTTTACTGGGTAACGAAAGTGGTTGATACCTGGTTAATGAGTTACACCTAGTTAGTGGGTAACTAAAGTGGGTGACCCCTGGTAAATAACTAAAACCTAGTTACTGGGTAACAAAAGTGGGTGACACCTGGTTAGTGTGTAATACCTAGTTACTGGGTTACGAAAGTGGGTGACACGTGGGTAACGAGTAAAACATATACACTGGGTAACGAAAGTGGGTGACACCCGGTTAGTGTGTAATACCTAGTTACTGGGTAACTAAAGTGAGTGACACCTGGGTAACGAGAAAACCTTTTTTACTGGGTTACGAAAGTGGGTGACACCTGGTTAGTGTGTTATACCTAGTTACTGGGTAACTAAAGTGGGTGACACCTTGGTAACGAGTTAAACTTTTTTACTGGGTTACGAAAGTGGGTGATACCTGGTTAATGAGTTATACCTAGTTAGTGGGTAACTGAAGTGGGTGACTCCTGGTTAATAAGTAAAATCTAGTTCCTGGTTAACAAAAGTGGGTGACACCTGGTTTGTGTGTAATATCTAGTTACTGGGTAACTAAAGTGGGTGACACCTTGGTAACGAGTAAAACATATTTACTGGGTTACGAAAGTGGGTGATACCTGGTTAATGAGTTATACCTAGTTAGTGGGTAACTAAAATTGATTTCGCTTGTTTCAATGTCGCAATTATTAATTGGCCCTTACGCTTTTCCCACCAAATGTAGCTGAAGCGGCAGCTTTTGTCACGTGATATATATTTATATCAATGATGAAATTTCTTTGTTACAAATAACCGCCTTTTTATTAACGATAGAGGAGAGCGCCATTTCCTATGAAACAGCCCTGGATATCACATATGTAATGCAGTTGGTATTACCAAGTTATAGGATGATAGGAAATGAAATTGGTATTACCAAGTTATAGGATGATGGGCAAGGAAGTCTGTTTTACCGAGTTATATTGTGATAGGTAAAGAAGCTGTAATTGAAGAGGGTATTACCGAGTTATAGGATGGTGGGTAGTTAATTGTGTGTTACCGAGTTATAGGGTGATGGGTAATGAAGTGGGTATTACCGGGAATAGATTGATGGTTAATGAAGTGGTTATTATCGGGTTGTAGGGTAATGGATAATAAAATTGGCATGAACGAGTTTTAGGGTGATGGATTACTTTTCAACCGGGTACTGCTGCCACCCATTTCAGTTACTAACCCTACTCCAGCCCAAACCCATCGCCATGCCACTAGCCTATCATTAACCACGAATGTTTCAAAAACATTAGCATTCAAACATTTAAGCTATCTTACTAAACGGTATTCCTCCCTCTTCAATCATTTCGTGACATAGCTTCACGACCTTGTAAGTAATCATAACCTTAACTAGGCTAACTATAGCCTTCCCAAAAATAAATTCAGCATCTATCGATTAACCAAATACCTCATAAACCAAACATTCCTAATAATAACTCCTAATAATATTTCTTGCAGTTATCAGCTATCAAATCACTGAAATAACACTTACTATAGCAATCAATCATCCAGCGAAAAGAAACATAGCAGGTAATCCTAAATATCACCACAAAACAAAGAGAGATTCACTCACAAACCGCATATGCAAATGGCGGCCTCTGAAATAGAAAAATGCATCATGGGAAGCAAAGGGGGGTAATTCTAATCAAGTCTAATAAGAACATTAATTCTCAATAAATGATGACTGGCATCTGACGTCACAAAAGTGGGCGTTCCCTAACGCATCTTCGACAAAAGTGCCCAAACCCTAACCCTATCCCTAAACCCTAACCCAACCCTAACCCAACCCTAACCCTAACCCTAAACCTAACCCTAACCCAACCCTAATCCTAACCCTAACCCCATCCCCAATCCCAACCCTAACCCCAACCCCAAAGCCAACCCCAACCCCAACCCCAACCCCAACCCTAACCCCAACCCCAACCCTAACCCTAATCCAATCAAAAAGGATTATTTTTGATTGATAGAAAAGTGGGCGGTATCCCTCATTCCTCATCCCTCATTTTCGCGATGTGCCTATAACGTTAACCCTAACTCTAACCCTAATAGTAGAATTAGGAAGCAAAAAGAGAATCATTATGCTCACCGGCAAAGTCCATTGGTTAGAATGTCCAGATATCCATAGCGAATAAAAGCCATTTCAAAACCAATCTATCAGAACACTTTACACTGACATTCAAAGAATGACTACAAAATGGATGCTTAACAACAATCCTAGTCATTCTAAATGTAAACACTGACCTTGTCTCATCAGATCAATGTTATCACGAACTACCAATGAAATTCCTAAATCAATGATTGGTCGAAAGATATGACGTCACCATCAAAGACGAGATGAAGTTGATCAACCTTTATCACTTCGTACTTATCCCCTAACCCTAACCCCAACCCCAACCCCAACCCTAACCCTAATACTGAAACTGAAACCTAACGACATATAAATATATAGAAATACAATACTCACCTGCAATATTGCCTGACAAATTACCTCTCTTGATTGACTTACCTGTCAAATTTCCAGGTACATTGTTCCCGAGTTCAACATTAAAGGAACCAGAAAAGAAAGGACATTCCTAACCGGTGTCTGTCAAGCAATCTGCTTTAACAATTATATGCAATCAGTATTCTATTCCCGAACAACTAACGTTGGCAAAATCCCACCGCTGCCACCAATTTGTCACGTGGGACGAACTTCAGCTTGTGATTCGGGAAAAATAAAACAAATGAACTGATTACAATTACAAATATTTATTTACATAACTTATCAACAAAATATACACAAAAATTGCGAAATCTAAAGTTTTTACAACATGACACATATAGGTTTCCATACTTTTCCCGCCCGACCGCGTACGCAGAACGCTTACCTATGTCTAAATGGATCGGGGCTTCCATAGATTTACATATCGAACAAATGCACGGTATAAACAATTAAAACACCGCACATATAATTTAGTTAGGTTTAAATTAGCTAAATATACTAGTAATGCATATATTTTTGGTAAATATACTTAAAAACATTAGAAAATGTAACATATTTCCCTTGCATAAACATCAATCACAATAGTCTCGCATGAATGAACCGCACCGTTAGCTAGATGGCTTGACCTGATAAATACATTGGTATACATAAATAATACCAAAACTAAATAATGAATAGAAATATAGAAACGGCAAACTTACCACAGTCGGTATTCTGTGCCTGATTCACATATAAAAGACCTCAAAATATCGAATCAGGTAACCGACAATACCACGTCTACCCGTATTGTCTAAGGTCTCTCTCGTGCCTCCCTGTCGATACAGTTCCGCATGACGTACTTCCGTCTTATACATTAAAGATACTCACCTTAATTACAATAATCAAAATAAAAATCAAATAGCTACTTGCGAACGTGACAGAGACTTATACCTGGGAATTAGATCTTAGTGTGTACATGATAATGAACGAACATTGAAAGTCCGCAACATTTTGTACAAATATCGTAAATTAATGAAAAAAACGATGAGTGCCCACGACGAGGATTTTAAATCGCAAAACGCTAGCGTTGAGCTCAGTCAGGCCAGTGATAAGGATACACTTGCCAGTAAAATGAATAATGAGCCCGAGAGTTATTGAAACTCTATCATACTAGTGGAGGTCTCGCGGGTGCCGTTACTAAGGCGTTGAAGGAACTGCATGAATTAATAGATCAAAATGCTGAGCATAAAAACATTAGTCGGTGCCTCGATAATATGTTTGAGATGTACAGTAGGTTTGAAGCTGCTCATCAGAAATTTGTAAAGTTAGCTCCTGGTATGGAAGATTTTAAGCTCGCGCACAGTACTGGTCACTTTGAAAGAGTCACAGATGTGGTGCACACTGCTAAAAATAGTTATGACAATTATATTCAGAAACAACCGAATGATATTCATGTACCTCCTGAAGACAGTGTTTCGCATGTTTCCCGCAGTTCAACCGCGTCGCCTACATCAAGTGCATTAGCTAAGGCAGCAGCTAGAAAGGCTATGCTAAAAACCAAGGCTATATATTTGAAACAGCAAATCGGTATTGAACAGAGTCAGTTTGAAATGGAACAGCAATTAAAGCTTTTGAAATTAAATGCAGAAATTGAGGCTGCAGATGCTGAGGAAAAGGTATTATCGCAGTATGTAAATGAAAACAAAACAACAGTAGAGTTTCTCGTGCTTCGGATCATGGCGATAATATTTATACCCCGTTAATGAAAATCAACGAACCGACTACAAATACTCAGCTTCCTGTAATAAAATCTGAAGCCCATTATTATTATTCCGGACAACCAACTATTTAAATTAACATAGGTCAACCAAATATGTCATTCTACACTTCCGCTCCAGCTAGTATTTCAAAACCTGTTCAGTCAGAACTCGCAGTGCAAAGACAATTATTAGACATAATTAGTCTTCCCAAAACATGTCTAATGACTTTCGATGGAAATACCATGGATTATTGGGTGTTGATGAACGCTTATGATAGTGCAGTTGGACGGTCCTCGGCGAGTGATGGTGTGAAATTAAACAGATTGTTACAATACTGTACTGGCAAGGCTGCTCAGGTTGTTAAACCGTGCGGTAAAATGAATGCTACAGAAGAATATGCGCGTGCCAGAGCGTTATTAAAAGAACGGTTCGGAAATAATTATATGATCTCTGAGGCAGAAGTGAAGAGGCTCACCGATGGTCAACCCATAAAGTCGAATGATGGTCAAGCTTTGCGTGGTTAAACAGATGATGTAAGAGCATGTATGGAAGCCCTGAAGGCAATGGATATGCTTGAGGAAGTAGATTCGCGTACGCGGATGGTAAGGATCATAAATAGGTTAACGCTTTACATCCAATCAAGATGGCGCAAGGACGCTTTGCAGGTTTTCAACAAAAAACTGGGATATATCCCAATATAACAGTGTTTGTGTCATTTGTGGAAACTGTTACCAAGGAAGTATTAGATCCTGTATTTGGAGCTGCAGCTGTTGCTAATGGAGACAAGGAAAAAAGAACAAATACTCAATCTAATTCCAACAAAGGTGTTGCTAGCTTTATAGTAGAAACTGATGAGAATTCTGACAAGTAACAGCAAAGTTGTAGTAACACAGGAAAACAGCAAAACATCAAGTGTTTTCTTTGCGGCGGAACACATTCAATGAGTAGGTGTAAGAAATTTCTTGGAATGACACCGTCTCAACGACTTAAAGTGGTCAACGAACATAAACTGTGCTACAAGTGCTTGATATTCAGAAACCACACAGCTCAAAAATGCAGAATTTCCAATATTTGTAGCATTGACAATTGTAAGCAGAAACATTCAAAGTTGTCACATTCTGCATTACGTCAAAATACGAACTGTAACATATTAACACTCCCAAAAAGTGTTGGTGTATCGGATCCTTCTGATCTTCTAAACAAAGTGGATGCACATAGTTCAGGGGCCTGTGGAAATGCACAAATGAGACTTCGAAAGTTTCTATACCTATAGTGACCGTAATGGTCCGTGGTAAAGGTCAGACTGTATTTATTCGGACAAAGGAATCATGAGCCGTACACAGTTAAAACAGCTTTAGGCTGGACTATTAATGGTAATTTGGGAGAAATATGTGATGAGTTATATGTTGCAGGAAACTCGCGTTCTGTACATGTTAACTCTGGAGGAGATACAATATTGAAACAGCTTGAACGGTTCTGGAGTATAGACACTTGTCATGTGTTGGCTGAGAGTACGCCACAACACTCTGTGCATGACAAAAGAGTTCTGGATATTTGGAATGATTCGTGTACACAATCTGAAGGACACTATCAGTTGAATATTCCGTTTAAGTCGGATGCAACAGATCTTCCAAACAACAAGGAATTAGTTTTGAAAAGGCTTCAGTATTTGCAGAAGAAATTTGCGAAGGACCCACAGCTGCATTGTAAATATCAGGCAGAAATTGATAAGCTTGTAAGTCAGGGATTCGCTGAGATTGTCGAAGATGATTGTATGGAAAGCAATACACGAAAAACTTGGTACTCGCCACACTATGCACACCATGCAGTTGTAAATCCGAATAAGCAAAACAAATTATGCATTGTTTATGATTGCGCCGCAGAGTATAAGGGTACATCGCTAAACAAGAATGTTTCTCAGGGACCTGATATGACAAACAACGGTAGATACTGTACTGAAGAACTTTTACGTTGATGACTGTTTGAAATCTGTCAGCAATGAAGAAACTGCTATAAAATTGGTGAGTGAATTGCGGCAACTTACTTCCCTTGGAGGATTCCGTCTGACAAAATGGATCGCGAATAACAGATAACAGATCTGTTATAGAAAGTATACCTGTCGTAGAAAGAACTCAGGGGATAAAAGAACTTGAAATAAATTGTGGATCTTTGCCATTGGAGAGAGCTCTTGGAGTCAAAGGGAATACCGAAACAGATACACTCGCAATGAAAATCATGTAAAGAGACACAAATTTTACTCGAAGGAGTCTACTGAGTATCACGAGTTCGGTGTATGACCCATTAGGTATTGTTGCGCCATTTATTCAAAGGCAAAGAAGATCTTCAATCAGAATCTAAGATGAATAAAGGCTCGGATGATGTCATGGAGGCAAGAATAAACATTGTTGGCTAAAATGGTTACAGGAGCTGCCAAAACTTCATGAACTGAAGGTAGATCGATGTATTTTGCCAGTGATCTTTGGTTTCAATGCGAAACTGGAGTTACATCATTTTTGTGATGTGTCACAGGAGGCTTACGGAGCTGTATCGTACATCAGAGCTTTAAATGAGGATGGCAAAATTGCGCATTTGTTATGGGAAAGTCTAGATTGGCGCCGATAAAACAAATGTCTATTCCTAGACTAGAACTATCAGCCGCAGTGTTAGCAGTGAGTTGAATCTTGACATCTCCAGAAATGTGTTTTGGACAGACATCATGCTAGTATTGCAGTATATCAAGAACAAGGGCAAGAGATTCCATACTTTTGTCGCGAACCGTATCGCTATTATACATGATGGATCTACTCCGGATTGCTGGAGACATATCGATACAAACTTGAATCCTGCGGATGATGCTTCTTGGGGATTACACGTATCGGAGATGGTTTCTCGACAACGTTGGTTACAGGGGCCGGAATTTTTATGTGATAGTGAGGACAACTGTGCGAATCGCCTACAGATTATCCGGATTCTTTGACTGATGACAAAGAAGTTAAAGCAACTGCATGATTATTCACTGCTGAATCCGAATCTGGAAATGAATTGGTCAACAAGCTATTGGCTTACCACTCATCTTGGTATCGGTTAAAAGGGGCAATCGCCTGGCTTTTGAAGTACAAGGACTGGGTTAGGAAGCGTACTGTATAGAAAACGCTAGATTCGGATGACATGATCAGATAAGAGAAAGCAATTACTGCGTACGTTCAAAGGACAGATTTTGGAAGTGAAATTGAGGCTCTGAAAGCGCATCATGGAAAAGTTAGCAAGAAAAGTGTGCTTTCAATTTGGAACCTGTTAGTTAATGACGAAGGTTTTCTCCATGTTGGAGGAAGATTGCTTAATGCACCTGTTTCTGAAGAAGCGAAACATCCACTTATACTACCTAAGGATCATCATATTTCTAAACTGATAGTTCGAAACATTCATGAGATCGAAACTAGGCATTCTGGAAGGGAATATGTGCTTTTAGTTATCAGACAGAAATACTGGATTGCGAATTGTCGTACATTGGTCAACAAAATACTGCGCAATTGTGTAATGTGCAAAAGACTGAGGTCTGCATTAGGTTCGCAGAAAATGTCTTCACTTCCGTCGGATAGATTAGTTGCAGAGAAAGCACTGTTTACGAATGTCGGAATCGACTGTTTTGGACGATTTTATGTTAAGAGAGGACGAAGTCGGGAAAAACGCTATGGCTGTTTATTTACATGCCTTTCAATTTTCAAGGCCATTCATATTGAAAGATTACACTCCCTAGAAACAGATTCTAAGTTACAATTTCGCAGAAAATGGACAACTTTGAAAGACAACTTCAAGAAAGATGATATTGTGTTAGTTCTTGATGAGTCTACTCCAAGGATGAACTGGCCACTTGGACGTGTTGTTGAAACTTATTCTGGAAAAAGATGGTTTTGTGAGATCTGTAAATGTGAAAACTAGGTCATCAGTGTTTGTTAGGCCAATCCATAAACTCTGTAATTTAGAAATTGTTTCATTTCCATAGATTTGCTACGAATAAAGTCAAGGCCAGAAATAATGCCTCTTATTCGGGAGTGCACGACATGCTCCGCAAATCTATACGTCATTGATTATTGTCTGAAATAATATGTTTGATTTTGTAATGTTATCTGTTAGGTTGAAAGATAAACTTTTAATAGTGACTGAAAAGTGATGAACATTGACATTATTTGTTAAATTTGATATTTTGATAATTGTAGAAGGTGCCGTAATACACTATATTTCGTTTTGAAGTGAATTATCGACTCGTAGTAAATTTATAAATGTACTTGTTAATGTCGCTTTTAGGGGCCGGTATGTTGTCGATAATTGTATATGTATAATAGGGTAGTAATGTTATTGTAATGCGATTTATGTTTACGGAGTACGGGAGGTAACTCCCACTGATCGATTCATGGTAGTTTGGGAAGAAGACGGCGGATAGTACGAAATAGCAAGAATGAGTGTGTTGGTGATGTGCCATTTTTGGACAAGCTATACACTGTGGTATTTTTTACGTATACTCAGGATATTTGTACCTGAGGGCTGAGATGTATGGAAATAACTGTAACTTAAAAGTACAGTCGGGCTTAGCGAACGGGCTGTTGAATAACAACATATGTAGAATACTGTATACCACGTGTTTGTATTGTGACTTGTTAGTCTACAGTACATGTATACTTGTAATAAACATGAAGTGCTTAGATCTCAGCGTGACTTATATCTTAGTGGGTACATGATAATGAACGAACATTGAAAGTCAGCAACGACATCCCTATGAATGTTAATGACTGTACACCATTTGCTAGAATCCGGATGAAGCGTCGATCTTACTGAACTATTTCGCATTTTTGAACTTTGACATAATTTCTTCTCTGGTCAGGAGCTTATAATATTCTCTTAATATTGCGCGATTCAGGTCCCTGGGGTCAAGACATATACGCAATTGACCGCTTTTCTTCTCGACAGCAACCATAGAGCGACCCAGGGTGTAGGATCATTCTCCTTACATATGACCTCCAGTTTTTCCATACGTTCAAGCTCTACCTTAACCCTGTCTTGAATGGTAAATGGAACATTGCGACATGGGTGTACCACTGTTGCAATAGATGAATTGACTTGAATACTGTGGTAGGCATCCCAGGCCTTCAAATACATCAGAAAACTCCTGTACAATACTGTCTGCTGGCTGTGCAGGTTTGTCAAGGTTAAATACGCGCTTGACTAGGTTAAGTTTATCACATGCTTTCACACCTAGGAGTGCAGTTCCTGAGTTTTTAGTCACTATGAAATACACAGGAGTTGTCCGCCCTATGTGGTTCAACTTCAGTACACATGCACCTGTGACTGGTATTTTGTCTCCACTGAAAGAAATCAATCTCATATTTGCCAGATGTAGCTTAGGTTTCTCTGCCAACTTGTAATACAAAGATACTGCCAGTATCTAGCTTAAAGTTAGTATTCGTACCGTTTGTATTAATGTTCAACCTCCATTCCTCGCTTGAAGAATCACTAGGATCAATTGTAT